TGTGAAAGTAATCTATAGGATATCCAACAGCAGGGTATTTAGATAAGGGGAATAGCATTGCTTCGCTTAGAAAAGGCTTAGTAAAATTAGTGATCTCGACTGGCGCACCATTGAAGTCCAAAAATGAATTTTTCCCAAATCATCCTGACATAGAGGAGGAAAAGGAAGGACTTGCACAGAAACGGTTGCCACTTTCATCTGTAGCAATTACACTGCAATGAAATATGGGTCATTCTAGACACTTATCAATAGCTAATATTTACTTAGATCATGGTGTTATTAGACTGTATTTTTGTTGTAAAGAAGAGCAGCACATTTATTCAACACTTGTCATTGTTTTCAAGTAATCTTCTTTGAAAATAATCTTGTTTTGGTTGTTTTGTCTCAGCGCAAACTAACAATAAGCTATCTGCGCGGAGAATAGAGCCCCGGATTTTAGCGTTGAAAATCCGTAAACTTACCTCTGATTCATCGCGGGGAACTTGGGAATAAGAATATTGTTTAAACGTAAATAAATACCTTAATGAGATTATAAGTGTACAACAGTTTTTTGTATTTCAATCCCACCCAATTAATAGCATGATATTACGAAAGTTCAGAAAAATCTTGAAATATAACTATTAATTTCTATTTGTGTGGATATTCATGAAAGAACCTATTATAAACAAACCATTCATTTCCTTCCATTTAGTAGGTTGTATTATTTTGTTGTTGTTGTATTGTTCTATAAAACATGATTTGGGGAAATAAACTGTTGTGCTGATTGACATTTGTTGTTACAGAAGTCACTGGTCACTTGTTATCATTCTAGCATTTTCTTTGTGAAAACCAGCAGACAATATCGTAGCTTTAGTCTTTGAATAGTTTCAGATTCTATTAACAGAAATAACTAGCAAAATGCTACTGATTCCACCCAGTCACAGTTTTATTTAAGTTTAGCGATACATATTATTGGTTGTTTGTAAACAGGTATTTTAGAATAATTTTTCAAAACAAAAACAACACCCAAAAAGTTTTGCTTCTGTACGTGAAAAACTTGTAAGTTAAAGCAACAGTATGCGGATCAATACTCGACCAGCCTTGAAAAGGAAATTAGTGAAGAAAATATCAGTCCAGTATAGTATATATTTATATATGTATAAAGACTTAATGCAAAATGGTTTGGAAATTTTCTTCCATCAAACTGCTACGTGATAGTGTTGTATCCCAGCACATAATTATTAACAATGAAAATGTTAAGTCTCATGCGATTTCATCGCAAGAAAGAATATAAATGGAAGTAGGTTTTTGTAATATCAGTTTGGCACATTTTTCTCATATCTAACCATGCATTCTGATAGGTTCAGTTGTTGTTTTTATTTCCAGAAGGGTTATAATTTTCTCTCAGACCTCTCACGTTTTCCAGTCATAGAATAGTGTCCAGCAGGTTAATAGACTTCATCATATTCTCGTCCTGAAACAAAACCGTTTTATTATTCTCATTTCTGCAAAACAAAAACAGTAGGAGAAAGAATTTATATATACAAACACATAACTTGGACAATGTTCGATTGTCATTATATAATAATTATCATGAAATGCGAAAGAACGAGTAATTTTTCTAAGCACTTAAGTAACAAACAATATAGAAAATCGTTGTGCACATGAACATTTTACTGGAATCATAATTTCTGTCGAATAGGAAGTATTATGAGTGGACAAATCAACTTATTAACTCTTCTTTGTTTTTTAAGTGTTGTGTGTCACATAAAAAGTGTCATCTTAGTAAGAAAAACAGAGCACTTGTGTTACATGAGGTGTAAAAGCATTTCTAAAACAGTACTATCTGTGATTAATCCATCGGTAGGGATGGTGCCATCGGTGAAAAGAAAGCAAATATAAAATATGTAAATTTGGATATACGAAATAATTGGCCCTGGAGGAGGAAACAGTTGATGCAAAAACTACTGTACGTGTTAAAATTAAATACACGCAGTTTTGCAAGCATCATAATAAAAATACTTGCATCAGATTTAACTCTAAATTGAGCATTTTAAGAAACTTATTTATAGATATCAAACCCTATTTCGCACCTATCTTTCACTGTGGACCATAGAAAACTGATCAAGGTGATTCCAAGTTGTTTATTAGTTATATAGAAAATGAAAAGCATAGAAAATTGTACAATTTAGATAAGAGGTTGTTAATCACGCATATTGAATGGTAGTATAACATGAAATAGGAAGTGCTTACGGTAAGATTTAGGATATAATATGAAATAAGAAGTACTTACGGTAAGTTTCAGACTGCAACATGAAATAAGAAGTACTTAAGGTAAGTTTGAGACTATAATGTGAAATAGGAAGTACTTACGGTAAGGTTGAGGCCATAATGTGAAATAGAAAGTACTTACGGTAAGGTTGAGGCTGCAACATGAAATAGGAAGTACTTACGGTAAGGTTGAGGCGATTGTACACCACTCTTTGTTATAGTTGGTAGCCTATACGACACCTAAGCCTAATTATTAATTAGTTACTGTTTTTCTATTATTAGTTAGTTTACAACTAGTATTCTGCTGACGTCTTCAGGGAAGTCCTGAGAACGGTTGAAACTAGTGGCAAGAGCTGAGACTCGATCTTCGCTTTCTTATTAAAATAACAGGTTTGCTGTCCAACTTTACAACTAGTAGTCTGCTGACGTCTTCAGGGAAGTCCTGAGAACGGTTGAAACTAGTGGCAAGAGCTGAGACTCGATCTTCGCTTTCTTATTAAAATAACAGGTTTGCTGTCCGCTCTCTCACTCCATTCGGATTTCAACGAACTATTAGAATGCCTCCAGACTCTTTATTGCTTATTATACTTCTAATATATTACTCTTCTTGTTCTTTTCGTTTCTCCAATGTATTAGAGTCCATATTCACAAGCGATGCCATAAATGGTGTTTTTGCTTTCCAGTGAATCTTAGTCTGGCGTGTACTAACATGTGATCCACTGTTTTGCGGCTTCTGAATAATGTTCTGACTTTATGGTGTCTCCATATCCTTCATGTTTTCAGAGAGGCCTTTGACGCAGGTACAAGCATCTACTTTTCTTCCTGATTATTGCTGGTATATATATTTTTTACAAAGGTTATGAACTTACAACGTTAAAATTCGGATTTCGATATCTCATGGTTGACAGAGCGCAGTTAGCCCATTAATCATTTATAGCACGTGAATAGCACATCTTTATTTGTAACAAGAAAACACAGAATCAAATCTCCGCCCTTTCCATCATATACAGTCATTTTCAGGACTTCCCTGAAGACGAAAGCGGATTAGCAACCGAAACATAGAATATAAACCAATTAGTAATTAGACGTAGATGATTACGATTATGATTATTGCAGGCTGTAAATTAAGAATTACAACATACCATAAGGAGTGAAGACAATTAAGAATACCATATATTGTAAATTAAGTACATTTAAAGGATCGGTAACATAAAACAGAGAGGTGGACAATTAAGAATACCATATATTGTAAATTAAGTACATTTAAAGGATCAGTAACATAAAACACAAGGGTGGACAATTAAGAATACAACACATTGTAAATTAAGTACATTTAAAGAGTTGGTAGCATAAAACACAGGGGTGGACAATTAACAATACGATATATTGTAAATTAAGTACATTTAAAGGATTTGTAACATAAAACACGTAAGGGGATGATACACAGACAGTTAATATTGCAGGTGGTGAATGAGGTAAGTTGAAAACCTAAGGAATTCGATTCTAAATAACGAGAATTATTGAGAACACGGTAATTGATGCATATATTTCATTTGAAAAATATACAAAAAATGAAATTAATCATCAAGATGTTTTTAAATATATTAAAAAAGCTGAAAAGCTAATAAACTGTTTGAACTAGTGAGTAAAAAAAAAAACATTTTAGAAAAGGCGACAATTGTTTCGTTGTTTGCAAGGATTTCATTTATGTCGAACGGGAAAATAGTCCGGAATGCTCAAAAGGCTGAGATTGTTTTCGAATATTTGAGCAAAACTATTCAAGAGTCATATGCGCTAGCCGTCCCTAATTTTGATCTGCAAAAGCTAGAGGAAAGGCAGCTAGTCAACAATACCCATTGCCATCTCTTGCCTGGCCGAATAATAAGATTTGACCGTTACCCTTATAATGTACTCATAGCCCAAAGTAAAGAGCGTGATTTGTTTCTGTGGAACAGGACGCGAACATTGAACCCAAAGGTCCATAATCCAGCATGATAACCATTGTTCCATGCTCGGCCCTCAGAAAGTTGAAACCCTAACTGTTAAACGAATGAAAACATAGATTAGAGAGAACTGAACAATTAAGAATATTCTAAGATGTAAAAACAAAATTTTTGAACATTAAAAAAACAGCATACAAGGGCTGGGCAATAAGGTGATTACACGTTACAAGATTGGACAACTAATAAAAAAGACAACAGCTTGAGAAGTATAATTATATTTGAGGACATTGAAAGACTCAGCATGACTGTTTTGATTTGATATTAGGACAATACTTTTAGATCTTGGTAATTTAATTACCTTTCTTTTTACGTGATTTTGAGTGTGCACATTAATAAAGTATTAATTATAATACAGTTGTATAACGTAGATTATGTTTATCACCTATTTTATTTTGGCAATGTGAATATTAGGTGTGTAGACGGTTTCCTTCTTCAGCATTTACGTAACGTTATTCGGTTTACTGTATTTCATACCTTATTTAAATTTGAAAGAAATGCAAAACGAAGCTAAATATTAAACACAGGCGCAATAGATGCATCTTTGTTTACTGTTTTTACTTAGAGATTAAGCACCTTGTACAACTTACAATTATTCATTGGTAGAAGTTTTGCAACCCTCAGTGTGACGAGGCTAAGATTAGTTGGAGGAATTGATCTGAAAGATTCTGATGCTATGTGTGTATCCTAACAGATAGTAAAAGTATAAATAATTTCTAATTTACAATAAATATAC